GCAAGTCTGCCACACCTGGGGAATGGGGAAAGAAAAGGGAAAACATCAAATAACTATGAACTCTTGTGATCCTATCATGGTATTTGTCTATTTCACCCCCATATCAAAGTCCAGTTTTCTCTGAGTGTCCAAAAGTACATTTAATTGTGGCATAATTCTAAGTTCTACAGAAAGAAAAAAAAAAAAAAAAAGAGTTGTGGTAGCCATTAGAATAATCCAAGGTGTGATTGGAGGTCCATAAATCACTAAAATTTAGTAACTAGCACCCACAAGAACAAAATCATAAATGTAAATGCTGAGTCAGTCCATTAATCCCCAGCAGGTGGAATGACAGACAGAATGTGTACAGATACCCACACTGATGCATAGCTGGCAAATCTTGCATAGCTGGGTAAGCTGGGTTTCCTTCTCTTTCTGACTGTGAATATTGAATAACTTGAGCCTCTTTCTTTGAAACCTGTAGGTACCAAGTTTGAAAGATAATTTTAAAATCAAGGATAAAGTTGCAAATTCATAGAGCAACTGCCTTGCACATTATTTTGTCCAAAGTCTACAAGAAAAAACAAAAGTAGATAGCAGATCTGACCAGCTGAAACTCTTGCAGAGTTATGTTTCTATAATAAGCAAAGTTGAGCATGTACTCACTGAGATTTTATGTCTTGTGCCTGCCTGAATCAGTACCCCTGATTTAGGGCAATAATTTGAGATGGAAATTTGAGTATGGAGCCTCTGAAGATGGGGAGTGACCTATAAGTTTGGTCATTCTATAAACCCCTGATTCAGGCTCTGTCTTTCCATCCTTGTTGTTGTTGTTGTCAGGTGCCATCGAGTCGGAACCTACTCATAGCGACCGCATGCACAGCAGAATGAAACAATGTCCGATCCTGGGCCAACCTCACTACCGCTGCCACCCTTGAGTCCATCAATGATGCCACCTGGCCAATCCATCTCATTAGGGGTCTTCCTCTTTTTCTTTGACCCTCCACCTTACCCAGCATGACATCCTTCTCCAGTGACTCTTTCCTCCAGACAATATGTCCAAATTTCCATCCTAAACTCCCATAAACAATACTGTGAGATTATAACACCTGCTCTAGTACTTTCCATTTCCACTACAGTGAGATGCTCTTTGGCTGCCCATATGGAGGCAAAGCTAAGGAGAAGAGTTGAAAGCATTAAAGGTAGCCATTGGAATCGACCAGAAAATTAAAACAAAAACAAAAAACACCAAAAAAAAACCAGTAGTCATTAAGTCAACTCCAACTCATGGAGAACTATGTCAGAGTAGAACTGTATTCTACAGGGCTTTCAATGGCTGAGATCTTGTGACATTAAGGCCTTTCTTCCAGAGAGTCTCTTACTAATTTCCAACTGCTAACCTTTTAGTTAGTTGTCCAGCACTTAACTGTTTTGTTTGTCTGTCTGTTTGTTTGTTTTACCACTGCTAAGAAACAAGCAAAAACAAAAAAAAAAAAAAAAAAAATGCAGTGTAAGTTTTCAGTTAAACTTTTCAGTTAAACTCTATTACCAACTGTAATTTCCCCCAGTGGTTGTTTGACAGTCTCAGACGAAATCACCTTTATATTGAGCTTCCTCAGAAGACAGGCCAGTCGTGGGGTCTGGGCTGTGTAACCTAAGCTCAAGTTCATGTGGTTTAGTCAGGCCTTTTCTCCCCAGTTGGAACCTCAAGCCTTGTGGTTACCAAACCCAGGAACCCTGGCCTTTACCCCTGGGGTCTCCCAGCCTGGCTCAATAGCTCTCAGTCAGTTCATTTCTCCATGACTCGAGCCGCTTGGAAAGCAAAGATTAAAGGGGAAAGTCGCAGCTGTATATTTATATTTCCATTGCTAGAAGGGAATTGATTTCCGCGCATTTATTTTGGTAGTTGTAATACACAGGGGCGGATTTGCGTCACCAGAGCAACTTGTCGGTGGAGATAAAGTTGCACAAATATTGAAAGGGGAAGTGCTAGGAGTCATTATAGAGTTTTTCTCCGGAAGAAATAAGGATTTCTGCAGTATCCTAAAATACGAAGGCCGCTTCTATTTTGAGACCAATCTCGCAGGCACATCCGCTCATTTAGTCGGAGTTTGAGCCCATCAAAAAACAGGAGATGACCTGAACTCTGGCAGGCCCAGGGTTTCCTGCTGCTTTCTTAGTTCTGAGGGGCGGGATAAGGAGGAGGGGGAGTCTTCAGGCTCAGAACCGGGTGAGAGGCCCCAGGGACCAGGCCTAGGTCTGGGGGCAGAGGTGTGTGTATGTGTGTGGCGAGGTCTAGGTCTGAGGTGTGTGTATTTTGTCTCCTAAGGCTCCAAAGCCGTTAACCTCTGGGAGCTCTGGGTAGGCCTGGATGGCGCTGTCACGGTTGCAATGAAGCTCAGGGCCTAGAACAGCAAAACGGAGTGTGAGGCTGGGCGAAGCTGAAGTTGCCACTTAAAATCAGTCACGCTACCGGCGTGCAGAGGTCTTGCAGAGACGCGCGCACGGCGGAATGAGAATTCGGATGGAAAAACCGCCCTCATCTTCTTCGACTCTGTACTGTGATAGTGGCCTCCAAGTAGGCCCCCACCAGCCTGGCTCTAGCGTAGCAAATACGGGTCATTGGCACCATGGGGAACTTTGGAAGATCAGCGTTCTCTGGCGCCCCGGGCCAATCCCGACCCCAAGCTCCCAAACTTTGGGGCAATCTTGTTTCTGAGAGACCCGGTGGACCAGCACACAGGGCACAGCCTAGTTAGCCTCTTTCAGAACCATGAGATTGTTGGGGTTTAGGCCTCACTGTCTAAATGTTTGTAGTCCAGATGGAACTGCAACTGAATTGGAAGTGACACTAGAAAAGAGAGGGAAAAGAGCTCGGGACTGCCGCTATACCTTCTGGCGCTGGTGATTTTCCCCAGAGACTTCCTCGCGTTTAGGCTCTCCCTCAGGAGTCTCACCAGAATTGTCTAGTCTAGCCTTTAAAGAAGGCAGATCCAGATGGGTGATTTCCAACACTTCATATATGGTCTGGGACTTGCCACACCTTGTCTTTGGCTAGACCCACAGGGCTGGTCATCCTAACTCTATCCCTTGCAGTCCCAGCGGAACGGATCCTGATCCTGACACTTCTTTTAATTCTATGTGTCCAAGTACTTTTCGAAGCCCCCTCTACAACTCTACCAGAGCTGAGCACGACTAGAAATCCCTTTTATCAGTGAGGGAGGAGGAAAAGAAGAAGGTGAGGAAGAAGAAGAAAGAGTTGTTCCTGAGTGTTGTGATTGATTGATTATTCTTGTTAAGTGCCTTCGAGTCAGTTCCGACCCATAGCGACCCTGTATAGGCTTTCCAAGGAGCAGCTGGTGAGCTTGAACCACCGACCTTGCAGTTCAAACGATTGATTCGTGATTGGTTATTTCAAGAAGAAAGTCAAAAGCTTACAATAACAGCATCTGTAACGTGGGGCTGGAAACCACCAAGAACTAATTTACTTAGCCAAAATCCTGAACTTGACATAGGCATGACAAGTTCAGTCGATGAACTTGTTAGAACAATCGAAAACAAAAACTTTCGTGGTTTCATTATTGTGTTATTTTATTTTCTTCCTGAAACTCTGCAAGAAAAGTTTATCTGGGTGGCCTGTGGTTTGTTTGGGAGCAGTTTGGGGAAATCCAATCTGACTATAATTTAAAAGAGAACGAATTCTTAAAATAGAGACGTTGATGTTGCAGGAAAAAAACCCGTTACACCCACCCTGTGCGCTAAAGATCCAAAACGTGAATGGAACACACGGACCGCCACTACAGCTCCTCCCAAGACCAGGCCCCAGGGGTTCTCTGCGAAACTGTCACTGAATTGAAAGTCCTTTTTAAATCCAAGGAAATAAGCTCTTGTGGACACTTGCAAAACAACGGACCACACGTGACCTGAGACGTGGCGGACGGGGGAGGGTGGCATTTCCTACTAGGTGCAGCAGAGAAGGGGACGCTCTTGCTGCTCTCAGGACGCTCTTCGGGCGGCGACCTCTCTGTAGTCTATGAACTTTTGGGAGAAAGATTTGGCTGCGTCCGAGTGAGACAATCAGAGACGCTCATCTTAATTTGTATGAAAAGTCACTCATCTTAATTTGTATGAAAAGTCACTCGTTCAAGTTGTCACCGTGTGATACCTCTCAATAAAGCTAGTTTGCGGTAGCTCCTTCTCCTCGACTCCTGAGGGTCGTCCAAGGTACAAAGGCGGACGCCCTGCTGAGTTGGGCCCATGCTCTGGCGCAGCTTCTGGGCCAGAGAGCTCCGCGCTGGGCAGCGTGGGGGCGGGGTCCCCAGGACGGATGGGGGCTTTGCAGAAGACACCAACTCTTGGGATTATTAAAGGGTGAAGGGAAATCGGGAGGAAAAGAAGTAAAGATCACGGAACCCCAGGGAGAGCCAGCGCGCTCGGTTTTCCACCCGGAGGCGGGCTTTACACCGGAGATAAAGTGCGGGAGCAGCCGTTCTACTAGGAGGGCTTCAATTCTCTGCTCGAAGTTATAGAATCCGAAGCCCCTGGAGCCTCCACCGAGACCCAACGCTGTCGGAGCAAGAGATACAGAACCGGGTTCAGCCCACGCGGTCGCAACAAACACTTTGGCGTGGCCTAGGCGGGACTGGGCAGGCGGGCCACGCCCCCTCTTTCCCCAAATCCCCTCTACTCCGGGCTCCTATTGGTCACAAGGATGGCCAATGAGCACGCGGATCGAGGTCCTACCGCAGGTCTGACTCGAAAGCTCTTGCCAAAACTTTGGGAGTTTTTAAAAGAGGAGGTTTTTTTTTTAACTTTTTTTTTTTTTTTAAACTAACGGATTATTATTGTTGTTATTTTAAATTTAGCTCTCAAGGTTTAGTTGTTTGGGTTTTTCTTTCGGGGTTTGGCCCTGTCTCTCCGCAACGCCTGTCCGCTTCTCCGCACCGCCATCCCAGCCAGCGCCCCTAACTCTCCTACCGACCGCTGGGAGCGCGGGCGCCGCGCCGCCTCTAAAGTGAGGCCAGGGGCCAAGACAGTGACCCGCCGAAATCCGGCCCTCGCCTGCTTCTTCGGCGGCGCTAGGGCTCTCCGGCCTCTCTTCAGACCGGGCGGAGAAGCGAAAGCAGATCGTCCTCCGCTGGGCCGCCTCCTCCTCCGCGGCTTTGCGCGCCCTTCCCGAGCACCCGCCCGCCGGGCCTGGGGAGCAGCGGCGGCTGCCCTGCGCGCCTCGCCAGGATGTTCGCCGCCGGGCTGGCTCCCTTCTACGCCTCCAATTTCAGTCTCTGGTCGGCCGCTTATTGCTCATCGGCGGGCCCCGGCGGCTGCTCCTTCTCCCTGGACCCCGCCGCCGTCAAGAAGCCCTCTTTCTGCATCGCAGACATTCTGCACGCCGGCGTTGGGGAGCCGGGGGCGGCCCCAGAGGGCCTGGCGGGAGTCTCGGCTGCCGCCCTCACTGAGCACTTGGGCTTGGTTCACCCGCACGCCTCTTTCCAATCTGCCGCCAGGTCCCCACTTCGACCCACCCCAGTAGTGGCGCCCTCGGAAGTCCCGGCTGGCTTCCCGCAGCGGCTGTCTCCGCTCTCAGCTGCTTACCACCATCATCACCCACAGCAACAACAACAGCAACAACAACCTCCTCCATCCCGGGCCGGCGTTCTGCAGCCCCAGGGCGCAGGGGCGCGAGTGGCCCCGAATCCACTCCAAAGCGGCTCGGTCCCGGCTCCCTCCAGCAAAGACCTCAAGTTTGGAATTGACCGCATTTTATCTGCAGAATTCGATCCAAAAGTCAAGGAAGGCAACACGCTAAGAGGTAGGTCTAGGACAGGCCTCTCTGACAGAGGCTCGGACTCTTTTCTAAGATGCCGGGTCGGATTGGGGTGCCTGTTAGTGTTTCTCATCGTTAAAGAAAAACAGGTAAAATGGGGAGAAGGAAATCAAGTGTAGAAAAACTACGAAAATTTAGACCTAAAATGATCTACCTACTCTATGTACAAAAATCTTAATTGATTTCAGGATGACTTTTATAAGATTCGGCACATAATCAGTATTCATAAAAAAGGTAGTTGTAAATATTTTCTGACATCTCTATTATCTGTTCGTGGTTTTAATTACATTTCTAGAGACAAACCCACTTCCGTCGATTCCGAATCATAGAGACACTATAGGAAAGAACAGAATTGCCCCCAAAGGGTTTTTCCGAGGCTGTAAGTCTTAGAGCGAAGCAGTCGGCCACATCTTTCTCCAGCCATATAGAGAGACAGAACTACGTTTTCTGCTCTGGGGATCATTTTCTCTTCCACATGTCTAATTTCTAGTGAAATCCGACCCAATAAATATATTCAGCAAAGCCAGTGCTCTAAACTCCCAGGAGAGTATTGTTGTTGTTGTTGTTAATGCCCTGGAGTAGGTTCCGAGTCTGTAAATCTTTATGGGAGCAGAAAGCCGCATCTTTCTCCGACGGTACAGCTGGTAGTTTTGAACTGCTGACCGTGAGATTAACGGAGTGTGGAATTCCTGGAAGGCACCTGAAAGTGATGGTGTTGTGGCACTTTTCTGTAAATCCTTTCCTTGCCACATGCGTGGATGTGGACGTGAAACAGGAGCATTTTTCTGCGGCGCCTCTTGGTAACTGTCAGGAGCGTGATTTCGGCAGAGAGCTGGGGATCTCTTGTGATTTGGCCCCAGGAAAACCGAACCTAGGCAAGGGGAAGGGGATGAACAAATCAACTTTGAGAATGTGTATTTGTCTGAAGTATAACCAGAGATCCTTTTCCTCCATGCTCAGATCTCACCTCCCTGCTCACAGGCGGGCGGCCTGCTGGGATGCATCTCCCCGGCCTGCAGCCTTCTGCCGGCCAGTTCTTCGCCTCTCTAGAACCTATTAACGAGGCTTCTGCTATCCTGAGTCCCTTAAGTTCGAACACGAGAAATTCAGTTCAGCATCAGTTTCAAGACACGTTTCCAGGTATGAAAACCCTCCCTCCCCCAAGCAAGCAATGGCCCCACGGACAGGTCAGGTCCACTGACAGAAATCTCAGACGGGTGAACCGGTGTCGCAATTCGGGAGTTGGTGCAGGAAGAAACCCAGTCAGAAGAGAGAAACCAAAAGATTTCTCAGCTAGCCAGTGCACACTCCAAATGGCTCCCTGGGGAAAGCGGTAGGGGAGCCTGTGGAAACTGAGCGGGACTGTGTGCGTGGCAGAGTGGGCTAGGGGAGGTTTTCCTTGGTCTTTCTCAGTGTCTCAGCTGCAAGTTTGTTGCAGCATCAACATACACACATTTTATTATGACCTCAAACACTGGGGCCCTGTGAGGCAAGATTCTGTCTGGACCAGACAGCACACTTAGTACACATATGTGCACACACACACACACACACACAATAGAGATAAGAGGCAGTCATCTCTAGATCCTTCAAATCCGAGGGACATTTTTTTCCATGTGCCTGATGGCCACGCGCTAGGATTACTTTTTCCTCTTGGAATTAATCTGCAAAGGAGAAGTTTCTCCACTCCACAGTTGCTTTAGGCCTTCCAACGATTAACAGCAAAACAATTCCTTCTTAACGATACCATTCCAGATGTGCATGAAGGGCTTTCTTGGCAGACTTTTTGCACTCATACACATGCAAATAAAGTCCTGTGTCTTATTTCTTTCCTGCTTGCCTGCCCAACCAGGGCCCTATGCCGTGCTCACAAAGGATACCATGCCACAGACCTACAAGAGAAAGCGCTCGTGGTCACGGGCTGTCTTCTCCAATCTGCAGAGGAAAGGCCTGGAGAAACGGTTTGAGATCCAGAAGTACGTGACCAAGCCAGACAGAAAGCAACTGGCAGCGATGCTGGGTCTCACTGATGCGCAGGTAAGCTAGCTGCAATGCACAGGATCCTCGGGTGGGTGGCAGCACCTGGCCTAGTCCCTAGGGACCCTGTAACCCTGACAAAGCCCTTTCCTTTAGCAGAAACACCAAGCCTAGAATTTTAGAGGCTTTGTGGACTTCACAATTTGGAGCAGAAAGACAGAAGATAGGGGAGAAAGGGCAAAAAGAATAGTCCATCACCAAAAATGTCAATAAGCACTGCTTGTTTATTTTGGCCAATTGAAAGAATTGCTGAGAAAACAAATAGGCCATGGGAGATAATAACTATGTGCTCAAATCTAGTGTACTTCAATGTACGAGAGTTTATTTCGGAAGACATTAAAAAAGAACAACAAAAAACCCCACCAGAATCAAGAAATTGTTCTTTTTTTGCTCCCTCCTCTCCTGCCCTCCTTGTCTCCTCCTCCTCCCGCTGCTGGATTGTGAAATCCCTAGTTGTGAGGAAGTGAAAACATCATTTCAAACGGAATTACTTAGCCCTAGTAGGGGAGCACTCCACTTGGAGTGACCAAAGCCAATCCGATTTTTAAAAGATGTAGGCTGTGGAGAAAGACCCCATCTAGTTAGGAGAGAGGGTAAAGGTGAAAGGGAGAGAAAGATTTTCTTAGAAAATGAAAGAGCATTTTAGCAGGTTTGGCTTACTTTTTATCTCCAAGATAACAGGAAATCTGTGCCTGAATTCAATTTTTGTCTTTTCTTCAAATTTAAGAACCTGGCTCTTAAATTTTTTTTTTTTTTAATTTGAGAATAGAAGTGTCAAGGTTGTTTCATATCCTATGGCAGTGGTCCTTGATCCCTCAGAGCCGATTTTCTTACCTCAGTAGCTGAGAGCGCATGACATTTTCTTAGCTTTCTGGGTCTGGGCTTCTGTGCTTTTCTGTCCTCCATTACACAACACCCCACCCCAGCATACACACTAGAAGAACAAGCCCAGCCATTTTCCACCAGCTGTGGATGTTATTTTTAAAAGGGAAGCTGGAACTTGTATCCCTGAGGGGATCGGACATATTTATATCGATTCTCTGCCCCATCTTTACCCCTTCCTCCACTTTGCACACGTTTAATTCCAGTGTTTTCTGAGCCCCAACAGAATTAATGTATTCCTGTAGAAGTGGGGTCCTTAGCCCCCCATCCCTTGCAAACTTGTAAGGAAAATATCTTCTGCTGAAGGCCCAGCAGTGCCCACACTTTTCTCTCCCTTTCTGCTTCCCACGGTTCTTCTTAAAAATAATCGCTTTGGTAGGAATTCTTAACATTGGTTCACCAGACCCTTGAGTCTGCAAAATTTGGGGTGTATGTGCATTGGGGAGAGGCAGAGGTCCACAGTTTAATTAGTTTCCTGATTTAAGTGGAGTTAAGCTCTGGTAGCATAGTGGTTACGATTCCAATCGGGCTGCAAACCTCAGGGACAGCAGTTCAAAACTACCAGCTGTTCCGCTGGAGAAAGATGAGGCTTCCTGCTCCAGTAAAGATTTACAGCCTCAGAAACCCTGTACAGGGTCGCTATGGGTCGGAACCAACTCCACGGCACATAACAACAACAAGATACACAATTTACAGAAGAGATCTCTTTAGTTAGGTGTGGGGTGCAATAATCTGCCTTTCCTACAGCACCCAGGCTATTTCGTGCACAAGCCACGTTTTGAGAAACAGCCCTAGAAGGTTCTGGTGGCGATGATTGGGCCCCTGCTCCGCTCTGTGCCGCAGGGTCCTTGATCGGTGCTTTCCTGAGACAGGGAGCAACAGCTCAAGGACAAGAGCGAGCCTGCGTCTCATCGCGGCGTGTACCTTCTTTTCTCTTCCGTTGGTCCGCGCGCAGGTGAAGGTGTGGTTCCAGAACCGGCGGATGAAGTGGCGGCACTCCAAGGAGGCCCAGGCCCAGAAAGATAAGGACAAAGAGGCGGCCGAGAAACCATCAGGTGGAAGCCAGGTTTTCGACGGCGAGCAGGACGAAAGGAGCCCCAGTCGCTCAGAGGGCGAGGCTGAGAGCGAGAGCAGCGACTCGGAGTCCCTGGATATGGCCCCCAGCGACACAGAGCGGACTGAAGGCGCTGAGCGGTCTCTGCATCAAACAACCGTTATCAAGGCCTCGTCCGCTGGCGCCCTCGTCACCGCCAGCAGTGGTGGGGGCGGCGGCGGCGGCGGCAGCGGCAGCAGTTTTAGTTTCAGCAGCGCCAGCAGCCTTGGCACCAGCAGCTCCTCGGAGACGCCCTCCGCTCCCCAGCCCACCTGCAGTAACACTCCCCAAAGCCCGGAGCCTGCCCCAGCGCCGCAGGGCAGCCTATAGACTGTGTAAGGACGGAGGGCCCGGCCGCTGATCTGTGCCAACTTTATGCCGGTGGCCGGGCCAGGGCTGGGGACCTAGCGGCGGAGCTTTTTCCGTGGGTTCACCGATCGCCCCACCCCTGGCCGCAGCCTGCCCTGACAGAACGGTGGAAGGTCTTTGTAGCCCAGCCAAGGACCTCAAAGCCAGCCACACTGCTTCTCCCCAGAAACTAACAGCTCGCACTATGAAGTGTCTGGCTGAACCATTCTTCCTTCCCACCAGGGGTCGTGGCGCAAAGAAATGCACGGAGGCCTCAAACTTGTAAATAAAATGTTTACTATGGTTTGTAAAGGACGCTTGGCTTGCTGGGGCGACGCTGTTGTTGTTAAGGCTCCGGGTGCTAAAGAATGTTGCAGCTTGAGTGGGAAAGAGTGGGATAGGGCTGGATGGAGCTTGTGTATAGAGATACACGACTTCAAGTCCACATTGTTCAGACACTGAGGCTGGGGTTTAGAGGTTGCGTCGATTCTAGAGTTCTCGTTACCCTGCGTCATTCGCCGCCGAATGCGCGCTGCGCGGCCCTGGGAGTGATCTAGGAGCACAGCCGGCGAAGGAATCCGTTAGGCTCCTTTCGTAAATGGCTTCCCTACCTGGAGTCTGGACGCGATGGTGTGTGTGCGTTGTTTTCCTGGGCTCTGGAGTTTACCAAGTTCAAGCGGAGAAGTTGAGGTTCTGGACTAGATTAATCCAGTCAAAGACAATGCTTACTCACTTACTCAGGGCTGGGTACCGAAGAACTGAGGGACTCTGTCTGGGGGCAACCTTCCCTTTGCTTGGGGATGGGATAGAGGATAGGGCGACGAGGCAGATAAGGTAGTAGCATAGAGGGAAAGACGGGCACAGTCACAGCGGCTGGGACGGGAAGCCCCCTCCCCCTCTCCGGGGTCCTAGAGCCGAGACCACGGTTTTAAAGACGCCAGAACAATCAATGCACTGTGGGGAAGGACACTTACTCAAGAAGACACTGAGGCAGAGCCCCAACCAGAACCTAGACCGCCTGTTCCATATATGGTCAGTGATGAGGCTACAAACGGAGCCCTTCAACAATCTAACTTTGGAACAGCTCTGAGCTGTCTTAAGCTTAACCAGTTTTGAGGCACCTATCCCATCATATCGAGGGGAGGGAGGGTTGAGTTAGGGGGAATGGTGGGGAGGGAGGGACTAGTCATTTTGGCCTCACTGCTGCTGTTTTTCTGAAAATACCAGAGTCAGTCCCTTTTCGAGAGCTGTCCTACCCCGCTTTCCTTACCTGGAAACTCTCAGTTGGTGTAACTTCTTTTGAGAGACTTAAAAACAATCGACATTCCGGACAAATCCTCAACATTCCAGTCTATTTTGCCTTTACCTTGGAGAGAGAGCAAGGCATCTCACAAGTCCACTACTCTGCCCGGTAGTGTGTTCTAGGGGAGAGCACTTTGCGGAGAATGTTCCTGCAGAGATGCTGAGGTCAGAGAGCCCAGGAAGCAACTTGTGTAGTCTGGCTACCAGGGTGAGAGGGCTCTGATCTCTCTTCACTTCGCCCCTATTTCCACCCATTCCCTGATTGCTATCTGAGAGTCTCTGTTCCAGACTTGCAGGTCTCCAGGGGTCCAGTGAAACTCAAGATCCACTCCTTGTTGGGTTACATACAGACAGATGTATAGGCAAGTGCCAGGAGGTAAGATTGGCTGTCCTCTGCCCCCAGTCAACTCTCCAAGCTCAGAAGCCCTACTGAACGCCTGGAAGAATGCACCCAGAGAGTTGGAGGGGGAGGGAGCAAATGAATAGGAAGATTCGAAGAGACTAGAAAGATAGAGTGCAGCGCTTCATGAAGGATCCCTAGTTAACTGGGAGCAAGAACCAAAGTCTAGTTTCTAATACCCTTCAGGGTGAGGACAGCCTCCCTGCCTGCCAGGCTCCAGCCTTCTGCAGGCTCTTCTTCCAGAACTGAGGGATTGTCTCTCTACTTCAGTTTTGCCATGATTATTGACATTAATTTCCTCCAACTCCTCAAATACCCAATTTCCAGAACTTGAATGTCCCAAGGATGTCAGGTTTTGAGGTACTTAAATTCAATCTAGCGTTAAGGAGAATAAGGCACCTGCATATATACCTAATTGAGAAGGGAGTTCCGGAGGGAAGGGTGCTTTATTCAAACAGCAGTTACACTGGCACCTCAGAGGGTGTCCGAGTTTCCCTTAGAGTGAGGGACTTTTGAAACGGAAGGAACCCCTTTTACAGGCATAGTCATGACATGGTCTTCATTCTGGTGACTTCTCCAGGCCAGGGGGCCAAGCGGGGAGGTTGTGAAGTTGAGGAGTGGAATTCAGTGACCCAAACTTTGGGCATCTGGGTTGCCTCAGGGGCCTGATGTTCTTCTAGGGCTCTCAGGAGGCGCCTGTTCGTCAACCCATCCTCCATTCCTTACCATTTCCCCAAATGAAACTCTAGCGAGACGTTGGAATTCTTCCATAATAACATAAGAAATGGAATATCACAAGTCCTGGAGAAGTTAACTTGGAGGAGGAATAGCCGCAGGATGGTGGTGCCTCTCTGGGCGGCAGGCAGTAGTGGCGGGGAGGAAAATCTGCATTCCCGGTATCTTCTCCTGATTCCTGGCTACTTGCTAAAATCCCAGGTCCAGCAATCATCTGGGCAAATCTTGACGCTAGGCAGCTGGTGAAACTAGAAAGTCCTGAATTTAATCAAGATCAAAGATTCTGGGACAGGGAAGAGAAGGCTAAACTCCCGAAGGTTCGCGAACGTCAGGCTTGTAGAGTGGTTTGCAAGACTTGCTGCAGAAGGCCTGTGCGCTCTTGGTGCGCTCAGAACCGAGGGGCGCCCCTGCCCCTCGCGCCACGGCGCCACGCAGAGTAGCGCTTTTCTGAAAGTGGGAGTAGCTGCTCCGAGCAGGCTCTATCTTGACAGCTAGAGTCATTTCGGCATACTATGGTCTTCGGTAACAAGGCTACAAAGGCCAGCGCATGACAAGCAGAGGGGCAGAGCGATGGCGACCTGAGCACGTCTCAGGGGTGGGGGGACGGAAACGTAAAAATCCAACATCGTTTCCAGACCCGTGAAACCGCGCGCGGGTATACACATACCGGTATCACAATCCTATATACATGCAGCACAGGCGCACATACCCACAGTCTGAGACCTGACACTAGAGGCGTGTCTAGGAAAATAGTAACCTAGAGCAATTAGATTTAAATTGCGCTCACAGCAAGGAATGGAAATTGAGCGTGGGTTTGAACCACCTACCTTGTGGTTAGCAGTCCAATGCTTATCCTTCAGCGCCACACCTTTGTGGTTGTTATGTGCCATTGAGTCGGTTCCAATTCACAGCGACCCTGCCTAGGGTTTCCGAGGAGCGACTGGTGAGTTTGAACCATCGACCTAGCAGTTCAAACCAACCTTGAGGTTGAGTGTGCTGATCCTACTACACCACACGTGGGTTCCTTGGTGGTGGTTGTAGTGTGCCCTGGAGTAGGTTCCGACTCATACCTACCCTGCATAGGGTTTCTGAGGCTGTAAATATTTAAGGGAGCAGAAAGCCTTATCTTTCTCCCACAGAACCACTGGTAGTTTTGAACTGCTGATATTGAGATTAGCCGCCCAACTTGTAACCACTATGCTACCAGAGCTCCTTGTTGTTGTTGTTGTTGTTGTTGTTGTTAAGTACTGTGGAGTCGGTTCATAGTGACCCTGTCTGGTCCTAAGAACCATACAAATAAAATTCGTGATTCTCTTCAGAAATGCAAATCAAATCGAGGAGCCCAGGTACTTGTGTGACTGTGTGGTGTAAAAGTCTTACTGGAAAAGTTTCCTTGAGCTATGTTACACTGAAAGTAGGCACCACCTGTCTCTGTCAAAGATGAGCTGGAACATCAGTGTTGGAAGCTGAAGGGAGCCTGTTGCTGTCATAGCTCTGTGAACACCGAGTCCAAACCTGGCATGCTCCCTGGTTCATCAGAGAGAAGACTTGCTTCCCAGAGGTGCTAGCTAGGAGGCTGGGCAGGTGCTCCAACCAAGGAGATCACATCCTCCACCCCAACACACACACACACACACACACACACACACACACACACAGAGACAGAAAGAGAGAGAGAGAGAGAGAGAGAAAGAGAGAAAGCCAGAGTCCTGTACTTGAGGGAAGAAGAAAGAAGATTCCCTAACTCAGGTGGATACAAACCCTGCTCCATACCTCAATGGGAATTGGGAAGCCCAGTCTCTCTGGGATCTTTCCTGTGGCCCTCTCCCTACCCAGGGTCCGGACTGCAACTATAGCTGGCGGTGAATCTGAGAAGTACCAGCACTCTGCCTGTCTGGTCCGGAGCCAAGATACCCAGAAAGTAAGTGGCCTTGGTTTCAGCAGCCTGGGTGCACAGCAGCTGCTAGGAGCTTTGAGGTCCAGAGAGAACCATTGTGTGGACTTGGGCTGGAAAATGGGTAAGAACCATAATCTGCAGCCAGGGACTTTAGTCTGTCTGGCTTTATCCTGAGATTTAACCTCTTCTGTGATGCTAGCCTACCAGCCCCAGACCATTTGCAGACTCTGTGTGGGTGGAATGGCTTGGCTGTTTTGGAGCAAGAATGGACTTGAGAAGCCAGAAGTGGACATACCGCTTTCCTTTTCGTGGGCATTGGAAGCTCCACCCCCACCGTCCTTGGGGATTAGTCTACAAAGGAACCAGGGGCTTGACCTTCCCTATACTTTCTATGGATGCTGCTCTAAAGATGGCTTGTTGTTAAGTGCCATGGACTCATAGCGACCCTGTACAGGGTTTCTGAGGAATCGCTGGTGGGTTCAAACTGCTGACCTTGCGGTTAGCAGTCCAGTGCTTATTGGATTTCTAAACTCTCAGGACCATCGCATTCCTACCAAGTTAGGATTACAGAATGGGTGCTGTATACCTGACATATAAAAAATGGCAAGTTTAGCTTCAACTTTTCATGTAAGAGATTTTCATAAATCC